TCAGATCATTTTCAGAACACTAAAATATTATTTATCATCTTGAGTATTTGCATCTGGAGTATTGATTCAGGCCCTTCTCTAACCAACAGTCACCTTTATGAATAGTTTAGAGTTCAGAGAGATGATGATCATGTTCTATTTAAATATGTATAAAGGACAAAGATAATAACAATACTTTGCACTTTAATATCACCTTCTGTCTGAGTTTCTCAAAAGAGAATATGAGTGTTAATGAATTTATCTTCCCAACCCTCCTTTGGCATATATACAGCAGGTCACTGTTATCCCCATTTTTCAGATATGCAAACTGATGTATTGAAGGGGCGGAGAAACTGAGCACTCAACGCTTAAAGCACCCAAAGCCACTTCTGAAAATTTTGACCCAATAACTTATGGAAGGTCACAGAAAAATCTGGGGTACTGCAAGGAATGATCCACAAAGCTTACAATTCTTAAATTTGTCTTTTCAACCCAAGATCATCCTCTTCTAGATTTGGAAATCAGATATAGACAGACCATCACATTGCTCAGTCATGAGGGAAAATTATATTTAGTTATAAAATGCTAGTAATCAAGATAAAGCTGTTCTGTAACCTCAACAGAATCTGTAGATCCTGCATTCTTAAACATGTTCTTTCAAATTAGGCATTCTGGATATTTTTGCACTGAAAAGAATGACCCACGCTTTCTTGGACTTAAAGCAGTTTTGGTAAAAAAAATCTTTTTCTATAAAAAGAAACTATCGATTTCCAAGGGCACTATTTTAACAATATCCATACTCCACAAGATGCTGAACGAATGTGACTCTTTTAGTGGCCCTACATAAATATAGTTAATTTACTCGAAGATTTTGACAAGAATATGTGTTTGACAGGAAGAGGGGCCAAGAAGAGGAGCTAACATGTCCAAATGGGCATGCAGAAGCAATGTATGACAGGCCAAAGTCCAAGCAACCATATTATTCCCCAAAAAAACAAAACTTGAAAAACTGCTGGAGAAGTTGAGTGAGCATGACAACTCGTCCAGGACAGTTTGAACTTATGCAAGTGGTACTTCTGTAGCCATCAGCCAAAGGTCTTGTTGTCCTTGGGGAACTATTTACAGAAGGATGAACTGTTTTTAAACAATTTCTCCACTGTGTTAGAAGCAAACACACATTACTTCTGACATGAAAAATTTGTCTCTTTTGCACCACAACTTAATTTCCTAAACAACTATATTTATCATGAAAGACATAAAGAATAAATCTCATCTCCCCATTTCTTCATAATTTCTCACATTTCTTTTGCAATATCTCAGTGTCCTAAACAAATACTGGGGTGGGGGGTGGTTAATATCAGAAACCCAGTGTCCATAGCTTAAAGTTTTCCCATAAAATGCCTACAAAGTGAACTAGTTGAGATACATGGTTAAAAAAGATATGTGACATTTGAATTAAGCTGGGTGTTGCTGAGCCTAGCCTATGAATGAGCAGGTGTCAAAAAAACATAACAGAATTTCTCTGTAAACAGACAAATTCAGTGCTGATATAAACCAGAGTCTTTGGTTGAGGTTCCTTTTCTATTTACATTAATTTATAAAATCAATGCTTTGTACTTGTGATAATCTCAGCTGATCATAATTTCTACAGCATGATTCTGGCCACTGCTACCTTTATCTTTTTTTAAATTCTTTACAGTAAGGTGCTGATCCACAGAAAAAAAAGAGATTTTTCAAAATGAAATATTTCATTTCACTGATAATTCTCAATTTGGTAAAATATTTTATTTTATTATTTTCTTGTTTGGGATTGAAACAATCTTTGAATTGAAAAAACAATTTTCTTGTTTTGCATTTATCTCCAATTTTAGCTAATTTAAAGTAAATAACTTTAAACTAAATTGAAAAAAATTAAGAATAGGCTGAAACAGAAACATTTTGTTGAAATCAATCTGGATTTTTGTTCACAAAGATATTTTAGATATTGACTTTTCATCCTGTCTAGACATGGCAAAAATGGTCATAATCACTTTCTAGAACAGGAGAACCATTTCCAGCCAACTGCAGCAAAAAGAAAGTTTCTGTTGTATAGGGCATAAAGTGAAATAAAGGGTGGAAGTTGGGCAAGGCTGCAAAGATGATGAACGTTTTTCTCATTAAGAACCCTAAACTCTGATTCAGCAAGCACAGAGTCACAGTACTATAGCAACAAAGTTTGGTGCCCGGGGCAAAGCCTGTAGCAACAGCCCACCCTCACCCCACGCATAAATCTCGGGGGCACCCCCCCATGCCTCCCCAGGAGTGCATGCAGCAGCAGGAGCTGCCTTCCTCCCATCCCCGCACCCCACACAAATGAGCCCCTCATGGCTGTATCCTGCACCATGCCCCTTCACTTCTGTACCCAGGGCAGTCGCCCCGCTCGCCCCCCCGCCCGCGCTACAACACTGTAGATTCAATTCCAGGTTCTGCCAGAAACTTCCTGTCTGGCCACAGATAAAGTCTACTGAATCTTTGTAGGTGTGGCCACATGAGACATTTACTGAGCAGGTGACTAATTAACTGTGCAGTAAACATCTCAATATCTACACATGCACCTCTATTAGGGTACAGAAAACTAATACATTCTGCAGCAGGGGAGGTCTTGTAAATATAAGTCCTACCCTGCTACAGAACTGTTTTGTGCACAGCAGCACATGTATAGATGCTGACCTGGCTGGCTGGGGCACGAGAGTGCTTCAGTATAGGGGCTGCAGCCTGGGTAGTGCCACACTGAAGCACCTTCATGCTCCAGCCAACCCCTCCGCAGCACACTGAGCATGGTTGGAGCAGCCGTGGGCCAGCAGGTTGGCACCCCTGGACCGCCGGCCAGCTGAGGCTGCTGCAGCCCAGCTCAATATGCTGCAGTCCAGGCACACACGTGAACCATGAGCCTAGGAGCTTCCCAGGAGCAATAAACAGTGGAGCAATAAGCGCCACCATTTACTGTGGTGCATTAATAAGATGTGTAAACGCGCCCTCTGTGTCTCAGTTTGCCATCCATATAACAAGCATAATAATTTCTTCCTTTCTTCCATTTACTGTTGTCATGTCTGTTTAGATTTTAAACTCTGCGTGAGGCAGAGACCATCTCTGACTCTGTGTTTTTTCAGTACATTGTATGTTGGCTGGCTTTAGGGTTGGGTGACATGGGTGGCCGCCCAGGGTGCCATGGTCAGGGGGGTGCCCAGCACACACACACACACACACACACACACACACACACACACTATTCACACAGCCTGCACTCGAAGTACCACTCTACCTCTGCCCCACTCTGCCCCACACCAGCCAATCTTTGCCTCAGGATAGTGGAGAAGTGTCCAGTCAAGCCCAATCCCCAACTCCAGCTGCTGCTCAGGAGAAGCTGGGCTGGGCAGGGTGGTGCCTGCTCCCATCTGCCCACCTTGTTCCTGCCTGCAGCAGTGCCACTGAAAGAGGGGGTTACCAAAATACAAGTTCACCCAGGGCACCATTTTCCCTAAGGCCAGCTCTGATGTTGGGGCTGTAATGCTTCTTGGGGCAATAGTGAACTACAAAACCCAATTAATGCTAATAGGACACCGAGTACAGAATCTTTACCTCCATCCCAAATAAAACCATTTAAAGTTAAATACAAGCTGTCAAACTCAGTCTTTCCTTAGCCAGACCCAACTAAGGAACTTAGCAGGGTGTGAAGGAAGCAGAGACACGTCTTTTCAGACTAAGAATATTAAAACAAATCTCAGTGTGAAACTTAGTTACCCTGACTTCCAGGCATAATGATCCGGTTTTCTCTAGGACCTATTCAATATAGATACACACTTTTTAGTTGTTAGATAAATAACATTCTCTGATGCAAGACAAGTTTGCATTGGCAGCAAAATCTTCCCAGCACAACTGGCACCAAAATTTGTGCAAAGGATGCAAGATTCAGAATAATGTCAGATGCAGACTTTACATATAAACATACAGGTTCTGATCCAAAGTCCATAGAAGATCATGGAAATAATTTGAGCAACTTCAACAGGATTTGTATCAGGCCCATATGAAGCAAGCCTCAAGCCATTACACTTTTTTTCTGAAAAAGTTGAAAACCCTTCCCAAAATGGAGGCTACTATGCCACATGGTTGAAGATGGTTTGCAAAGAGATTTGAAGAGGATATAACCATAAGGCATAGCTTATTCAACACATTATTCTGTCTTTTTCCTCACTTCCTTCTTTAATAGATCCATGAGTTCTTTTCTCTTCACCTTCTCACCGCTCAGAACTATCCCACTGACATCACTGTCAGTACTTACTAGCACCAGAAGAAGGAGCAGGTATACAGCCAAAACAGTAAAAACATTTTTATTACTTACTAATTGGTTCTCTAAGACTTTCTAGAAGAAAATGAAAATGAAACTTCAATTAGAGGAAAAAACCCCTAGGAAGTTCTGATTATTTGTAGGCAGGATATTTGTTCTACTGCTGCTGCTGATTCACCACAGTGCTCAGTGTACTATGGGAAGCACCATGGCAGTGGCTGGAAAGAAGGTGAATAGAAAACAAAGACATTGTTGAACAGGAAAGAGAAACACCAGCCACCAGCAAAGTATATTTACTTTCCCAATTCTTATGAACTTCAAAAAAAATCTGTAATAGGCTATCTTTGAATTCCTGTGGACAACCCATAGGAACAAACTCAGCTCAGAGTCTATTTGCTGTTGAATGTGCACATGAATCACATTGGTACCTCTGCCCTGTGTCTACTCTGTTCCTGCAGTAAGGGTTCAACATCCAAAAAGGATCCTCCTCTGTGTAGGCAGACAGAATGCAAGGATAACTTAACATCTATCCTAGCATACTTCCCTTAACCTAGCACAAGGCTGATATAGCTAATTTTTAGTCTTCCAACCTTGACATACAAGCTATAAACTGCTATATACTTTTGTTCAGCTGTAGCCATTTCTATACGGAGAGAACTCAAATTGCAAATTATATAAAAAATGAGAAGTAACATACCTGCAAAATGAACATAAAACACATTTATTTTATAACCCAGTCTGTGGTCAGCTCTGCGTGCTCCCTAAATGAAGGAAAAATATAAAAAGTGGCTTAGACATGTTTGCAATATACACCTAAATGCCTTAGGAAGACTGCATATAAAGCTAGGCCTAGTATATTTTTCCTTATAGATAACATGAGAGTAAATACACTGATTTACAATTTTTAAAAGGCTTTATGCATTTTTGGTTGTTCACTAAGTTCCAGTACAAATTTTGGCTATAACCACATTACTGGCTGGCTGGTATCACTGGCAATAATCATATTACTAGGCCTGCTGGTCGCTGCGTACATTCTCCCACCCTAGTATGCCTAGAGCGTTACACTTCTTACGAAGCTTTTGTATATTCTCAACAATATTCTCCTTTCTGGGGTCTTGTGATACTTCAAGAATTCCCGAAAGGGTGACTCAAGTGGTGAGAACTGAAGTGAATTTGTAAACTTTTAAAATCAGAAAATAGATTTGTTCAATACAATTCCATTCTCAAGCTGTTACAGAGCCACTACAGAATAAATGGTTGGTAGTAGAAAAATTAATTTGAAAGCAAATTTAGCTAGTGCTGGCTACAACCACGGTTCTATTTCTCAGGCCAGATCAGTACTTGAAATAGCCTTGGAGGCATACAGTTTTGTTTCCATTCTTCCAGTATAGTTTAGTATATGCAAGTTGACTCTAAAAAGTTCCAAAATATCACCAAACAGTCTACAGACTCCATCTTTCACCAGCTGGCATTTATTTCTGCTGCTTCATCATAAGCACTTTTTTCCCAAATCATATTTTTATTGGAATCTGACTAAACTGTTAGTTACAGTGCTCATTTTGTAGACATTAATTAATGGCCTACACATAGAAGTGAGGTGGGGTGGAATAGGATGACACTGTGCATTATTCTGTTGGCACATACATCATTCTAGTAATTAATGTTGGTGTCTTTTTTAAACTGGGTTAAGCAATATGGACAACACATACTCTGTTCTGCCCAGATTTTACTTATTCTGGAGTCTCTCAGCTGCTTGAGAGCAGTGTCACTGGTAGTGCCGTATGGTCCTTTTATTTCCAAGAATGGTTCCATTTGGTATCAGTATGAGAGGTACAATGTATAGAGTATTTCACTTGAAGATGCTTTACAGACTTTGGCTTTCTGAGTAGCAGTCTGAAATATACAGACATAAAGGGGAGATTCTTCTGGTGGGTAATTCCTTTCTGAATTCTCAGTAATAGGGTCACATCCTCCTTTGCAGATTTCAAGTTGAATAGAAACTAATAGAAAGCTTTTATTTTGGCACCCAAACTGCTTTTCTTTCTTTCCCTCTCTCACCCCCAGCCACAGAACTGCCTTGCATGAGCATCCCTCTGTTTGTTTCCCCACAAAATTGTTGGGGTATAAGAAGAGTTAGCTGTGGATTTAACTTGGTGAAAACCAAATTAAACAAGTTCTCTCTTATGCAGAGTGCAACCATCTGGCCCCTAAAAAACAGGGAGCCTGATGTCCCTGAGAAAGGACTCTGAGGCCAAGTCCACACAAGAAGGGGCGTGCCCACAAAAGGTAGTGGCACAAATTTGTGCCGCTTTCTGCCACAGTGCATGCCCCTTCCCATGTGCTTTGCAGCAGGACACACTGTCCCACTGCTCCATGTGAGGACACAGGGTACCTCAGCACTGAGGCTCCACAGCTGGCAGAGATGGGAAAGCAGGGAGCCCTGGTCTGCTTGCTCCCCAATCTGTGCACTGGTCCCAGTGCTTGCCACTTTGGCATGGGTTGCACTGCTTTTTTCTGGGGAGTTTTGTTTGGGTTTTTTTGCTACTGGGAAATCACAGTAGCAAATTTTGCCCCAGCACTGCAAATTAGCAGCACTGCACACTGATTAATGTGCAACTCGTGCGGTTTTGACTCTGCAAAGAGGTTTGTCGTGCCACAAACCACACATGCCTGCATGTCCAGGTCCAGCCTGAGTGCCTGTCTGTTTATACCAGTTTCATTATTCTTGTATCTAAGCATCTAAACTCAAGGAATGTGTGATACTAGTGTGTATATATATCAAGGTTATCACTCATTTGCATTGGGTTTAGGGCAGAAACTAGCAGAACAGAAGGATGCAAAGCCTATTCCATAATAGAACAATAACAGAAAATACAAAAAAGCATTCAGTCTCCTTAACTTCCATGCTGAGAATAGTGGCTGCAATGATACCTTCCTAGAAAGAACAGCTAGAGACTTCAAGTCAACTGATTCAACAAGGTGATGACTAAGGACCTACGAAATTCACAGTGGAAGTGGACTGCGTGGCAGCTCCTTTAATCTTGCAGATTCCCCCATACCCCCCTGCATTGCTGATAGATTGAGGGGCCCCGGTGGCCCTGCTCTTTGTTGCTGACCAGCTGGGAGGCAAAAACAGTGCTGTATTTAAAACCACGGTTTTTGCCTCCCCGCAGATTAAGGGTGAGCAGCAGGGCCTTTCTGCTAATCTGCAGGGCAAGTGAGGGTGCATAGGGGAACCTGCAAGATTAAAGGAGCTGTCACATAGCCCACTTTCTGCTGTGAATTTGGTAGGTCCCTAATGATGAAAAAGCAGCTCATTGCTCTGGGTGGGGAGGGAGGAGGGGGAGAGGAGGCGCTGGAATTCCCACTAAACCAGGGGAATAGAATCACTGAGAAGAAAAGATGGGGAAATTTTCCTTGCACTTTCACACTTTCATTAAACTTGAACAGACTGCTTTTTTTGTTTTTGTTTTTTTGGGGGTGGAGCCAAAACTAACTTGGGACTCAGGGAGATGATTGCAATATTAAACTACCCTCCAGAGGTAAAATCTTATTTTTTTAAAATAACTTTTCCTGATTAGGACAAAATTTAAACAATGCTAATGTTTGCGTGGGAGGGGATTTCTATTAAAATTCCATTGTGGGAGAACAGTAACAGGAAGTTTTGGCTTGCTGACTACTGACAGAAAGCCTTCATTCCAATTTTCCCAATGGAAAATTAAAAATTTCCAGAAGAATGAAAATTTTCCTGAGGAAAATTTTGATTTGGCTAAAAAGACATTTTTCATTGAAAAGTTATTCCCCTGGAAAATTCCAAACTAGCCCTAATATGGCCTTTACATCATCTCATTAGACTAGATCTTGGTATGACAATTTATTAAGCATCCTAGCTCAGACCATTTCCTGATTTTTCAGTTAAAAATGGTGTAAAGAGAAATCCTATGATGCTGTCAGGGTTTTTTTTCTGGATTAATACTCAACCCCAGATCAAGAAGCCTCTTCTGACTGAGATCATTGAGGATTAATTTCTTTGTCACAATCGAAAAGGTATGTCTTTGGGGCTGCAGTTAATTCTGAGAAAAAAACACAAACTCTTACTACTAGTCAGACTTGATAAGGAAAGCAAACAGACACTTGTTAGAATGAAGACAGCAGTCCACAACTCCATTCTCTACTCATAGGGCGAAAATGTATGGGAAGAACACATGAGCCACCCATCCTCTTGAAAAGAGAGGATGAAGGAGTTGCAGCCCCTTTTGGAAGGGATTTTCCTTAAGGGTTGTGCCCAGCTGGTCCCCCCACAAAAGCCAGAGCCATTAAAGAGAATAGCCATTCTCTTAACTTAGTTAAAAAAAATCTCCCGACCATGGCTGAAGCCAAATGGCCCTTCAGGCTACTACTGAAGAATCAATTACATTAGCTCTAAGCCTAAGAGAGTCCTGGGGACAATCAGTCAGAGCCATAATAGCTGTGAGGGAATTGTTAAGCAAATTGAGGGATTCTTTAGGTAATTGGGATTGGACAACCAGGTCATACTTAATTTGAAGCATCCATTCCATACAAGTGCTTCAGATGTACATTAGGAACTGTAGTTAGAAACGTCTAATTGTGCTGCTGCTAACCCAGTGTTCCTAAAGAGGCACCCCTCCATCATCCTGTGCAGTGTATCTAAGGGGAATGTATGCGCTTTTAGGAGAATGGAGTGCAAGCAGCTACTGTAAGATGAAATCAGGGAGCTGTAAGCCAGATGTCACAGGTCTTCTGGGAGAATGTGTGGTGCTTATCCACGGTACCAACCAGGGACCCTAATATTCATCATTTCTTACATGTAATGAAAATCTCTCTTACAGAAGAGGAGTTGCATGATTCTTTCCTTCCTTTAAGACATTCCAAAGAAAGGAAGGGAGGCATCCTTCTTTTTTTTTTTTTCTTTCTTTTTTTTTAGTATTGCAGGTTGAACCACCAGATTTCTGCTGAATCAGCAAATTCAATTGTATGGGAATTCAGAGCTTCCACCTCAGGCTCTGAAGACAAGCCTGGAAAAGGCAGAAAAGAAGGATGTTGGCAGTGGAGGACACATGCACAAAGAGGCTCGAAAGGGTCAAATAGTTCTATAGTTATGAGAGATCACATCAGGCAACAACCTCCAAACTCGTACGGTGGGAAGCTCATACATCTGCTTGGGAAGCTCAGATTGAAACAGGACATTACCCAAATGGCAAAAAATCTCCTGCTCTCTCTGTCTACTAATGCATCTTCAGAAGAAGGCAACACTCCAGAAATTCATGACTATGACCAATTACTGACATCCTACCCTCTGACTTTGGTTATGGAGAATCTTGCTGGGAAAGCTGCTCCCATCATGTGCTGGTTAGCCAGAGATGAGCAAACTAACTCGTCTGACATAACAGAACCTGCTTCCCCATAAAGCCTACTTTCTTGCTGAACTGCCCTAAGTTCTCACAGGCCATACAAAAGGATCCAGCCAGCATAGTTTCAACAATGCCAACTCCGTACTGGACCATTCCATCCTCTTTTTCTTCCTTTTCCAAGATAATCTTCCATGAACCAGGAACTCAAGAAAAAACCTTAATACAAGTTCTTACAAAGAACAGGAAAAACAACTCTTCCAGAATGGAAGAGATTTCTTGTTTTGCTTTTCTTTGACAAAGCAAAAAGTGGGAAGGGATGGAGAAAGGACAAAACCTGGATGACTGGGCTACGTGTCAGCTACCATTTCTACTTCACACCTATGCAGGCACTGTAGCTGAGAATAGCTGGCTATAGCTGGACATAGTTTAGCCCAGTGAAATCTGAGTATGGCAGACTGACCAACAGAAGTTTGAAATACACACATGTCTGAAACATGCATATTTCTTGGCAGAATAAGAATAATCACAAGCAGCATGAGCAATTTTCTCTCTAGTGTATGTGAGAGTGCCAGTCACTGTGATGCAATTCAATATGCCAGCCTATAGATTTCTGAGGTTATCTGAAAGTGTGCCAGTTGTCACCCAGCAACAGGGTCTTTTAAAATAATATGAAATACAATGAAAACTGAAAAATGTTTTGGCTCTGAGGACTGATGAATAGCATAAGGCCAGTCCATGAGCCACCCCAACATGCCAGGATCAAGCTTTAGGGCCCACACTGCCCCCGTCTGGCCAGGACCAGGCTCCAGGGCCCCGCACCACCCCAAATCAGGCTCTGGGACCCCAAGCCATGCTGCCCCCACCCGGCCCCAGGATTGGGCCCTGCACTTCCCTATGCACATGATTTAGCACATAGGACCACATCCCACAGGATCTGTGGGAAACCCCATGAGCCAAATGGCACTGTGCTGGGGACTGAATCTGGCCTCTGGGCTGGAGGTTGAGCTATGAACCACTGGTGTGTTTTGGGATGGATAGAAACTAAGGGCACCTATACACATGCAGCAAGGCTGCTCCAACGTGCTGTAATTACAATGTGTCAGAGCAGTCTCAATTAACTGCATCTCCTGGAGCATGGTAATTACTGCACTCCAGCAAACTCCAGTGTCATGTACATCAGAGTCCCTTGCACTAAAAAATGATGGCATGGGGACCCTGATACACATGACACTGTGGGCGCTTTAATTACAGCAGCTCTTGGAGCTGCTCTAATTAAAATTCCTGCCCCCCTCCCCCTCCCAACTCCTGGAACACGTGTATAAATGCCCTAAGGGACAAAACTTATTTCAGTTTGATGTGCCTACGTGACATTTACAATTGTTGGTACTTATATGGCTTTTAGATTCTATTTCAATCTATGACAGAATGAGATTGCTTCAGTACAACCATGGCACCACAAATTTGAATGAATGAGGTCTCTTCCTCCTTTTAACTCAGTAACTTAGTGGTAAGGCCACTTGCCCAGGGAGCTGGAGATCCTGGTCCAAGGCCCACCATATCCAGAGTGAGATCTGAATTTGCCTCTCCCACTTCCCAGCAAAACGTTCTAACCAGGCCACAGGGTAGACATTACTCAGAGAACTTCCCAGCTATCTTCTTGATGCTGGCCCATTGGGCAGCCAAGAGGAAAAGATACATGGTACCTGGCAAGAAAAAGGAAGTGGAGGGGGAGAGCTTCATGAGAAGGATATGGCTGTGGAAAAAAGAACCCTAGCTCCTGGTCCCTGCCCCAATGGGCATTTAACAGTCATTGGATAAAATGGATAAACAGTAATGGGATAGTTTCTGCCTCACTGGGGCCATAAGCAGGGCCTCTCCCTGCTGGGGCCAAAGATCTTGCCTATAACATTTATGGCACAAAAGTACTCAAATGATGTTACATCTGTTAAAAATCTACTGTGCATTTTTAATCCAATTAGGTGACATTCTCTTCCTTGCTGTGTAAAACTAAACACATTAAATAAAATCACATGAAGCAAACCAGCTATGCTAGCATCATCTTTATAAACCTTAGTTAGAGGAGGCCATCTACAAGGCACATGGATAATTCTGTCTGACTAACTAGCCAAGAATGGAAACAAATAACTCCACCAACATGACTTACAACTAAACAGCAATTTTGACGCTCCATAACTATATAAGTAATTTGGGTCCATTCAAGGACACTCTTCTACCAAAGCACATATCAAGCAACTAAAGAATTAAGACAATAAATAGTAATTAATAGTTTCCCAGGCTTAAACAGCATTAAAGAGCTTGTTAAACAACATTTTGAAATATTAGAGGTATTTGCATATAAGTTTTGCAAAGTATATCTGTTTTCCATTTTCTGTAATACAACAGTCATTTGGATTCCTCATGTAATCAACAGACTCAAGTACATGCAATAGTCATTATTTATCACAGACTCTTTCTAAGCAGGTATTAGGAAAAAACTGATAGTAAATAAAGCCAAGACTTCACTCTCATAAGAATTCTGTTTTCATCCAAGAGTGCTGAAGGAGCTGGCCAGAGTTATTGTGGAACCCCTGGTGAAACTCTTCCACAACTTGTGGCACCTGGAGAAGTCCCTGAGGACTGGAAGAGGGCCAATGTTGTGCCCATCCACAAGAAGGGCAGAAGGGAAGACCTGGGTAACTATAGGCCAATCAGCCTAACTTTCACCCTAGGAAAAATCCTAGAAAAGTTCATCAAGGAGTCTATCTGTGATAAGCTTGTAGAAGGTAAGATTCTGAGTGACAGCCAGCATGGCTTCATCACAGGCAGGTCTTACCTTACCAACCTCATCTCCTTCTATGACCAGGCAACTCTCCACCTGGACATGAGAGAGCAGGTTAACATTGTATACCTTGACTTCCAAAGGTCAAGGTAGTATTCAATGATGCCCTCATGAGAAAATTGGAGGATTGTGGGCTTAACTCCAAGACAGTCAGGTAGGTGAGAAACTGGGTGCAGGATAGGACCCAGAGAGTCATAGTGAATGGATTTGTGTCATCCTGGCGAGAAGTAGGCAGCAATGTCCTGTAGGTGTCGGTGCTTGGTCCAGCATTTTTCAACATCTTTATTAATCATTTGGATGTGGGGGTGAAGAGCTCACTGGCCAAGTTTGCAGATGACACCAAGTTATGGGGAAGCGTGGTCATGCTTGAAGACAGGCTACAGATACAGGGGGACCTAGACAGGCTGGGAAGTTGGGCAGATCATAATCTGATGAAGTTCAACATCGAGAAATGTAAAGGGCTTCACCTCGGGATGAGCAACCCCCAACACACCTACAGGCTTGGCAGCACCAAACTGACTAGCACCATGAATGAAATGGACCTGGGGGTAATAATAGACCACAGTATGAATATGAGCCAGCAGTGCAATGCTGTAGCCAGTAAAGCAAATAATACTCTAGCATGCATCAATCAATGCACTGGTGAGACCGCAGCTACAGTGCTGCATCCAGTTCTGGGCACCACACTTTAACAAGGACATGGACAAGCTTGAGAGAGTCCAAAGAAGAACCACCCATATGATGAGAGTTTTACATGGCAAGTCATATGAGGAAAGGCTGAGGGATCTGGGACTCTTCAGTCTGAAGAAAAGGAGGCTGAAAGGGGACCTGGTAGCAGTGTATCGCTACACTAAAGGAGTACATCAAGAGCTGGGTGAGCAGCTGTTCACCAGGGCACCCAAGGGGAAAACTAGAAGTAACGGCCACAAACTTCTGGAAGACCGATTCAGGCTCAACATTAGGAAAAACTTCTACAAAGTCAGGGTGTCCAGACTGTGGAATAAGCTTCCTCCAGAGGTGGTGCAATCACCTACCCTCGAAATCTTCAAGAGGAGACTAGACAGCCACCTTGCTGGGGTCACCTGACCCCCAGTTATATTTCCTGCTTGGTGCAGGGGGCTGGACCCGATGATCTTCCAAGGTCCCTTCTGGCCTTACAATCTATGAATCTATGAATGTGTCTCAATGCTGAGATTACAGATGTTTGTAGTATTAGTAAAGAGTTTTTCAGACCCTTTTTAACTGGGAAGGTTGCACTGACAAGTTCTAAGTGCAGTCTGACATCTTATTTCACATCTGCTGTCCTGCAAGTTTTCTATAAGTGCATTACAGGTACAGAGACAACATCGGTGTGCTGCTGTTAGTGGCCCCTAGATTTCTGTTCTGCACATCTTTCATTATTTTAATTTACATTATGAATGGAGCTTTGCTGTAGAGTAAGGTACATCCAAGAACTGTTGTCCAACTGAAAGAAGTTTAGCTACAACTGGCTGAACCACACTAAGTTTTTCTTTTAACTTATTGGGAAAGCAGCCACCTATGAGCTATAAGCAGAGAATGATCCGGGAGCATCCTTTGTCTGCATGTGCTTGGGGTAGGGATGGGGAGGCTTTGTAATTAGAGTGGTTCCCAGACAGCCATTCTAATTAAAATGGCTCACTGTTGTGTATATTAAGCCCCTGTGTGTTTCAAAATGATCGCAAGATGATTCACCTAAACCTCATTTGACAAAGTTTATATAAAGCACCTCTGCAGCCATTTT